CATGAGAATGATAATTTATCCCTTCCTCTCCTTCTCTTTTCCTTTATTCGATTTAACAAATTTCATAATGGGTTACAATACTTTCGATATACTAGACTAGACTAGAATTCAACAAGATCCCTTTTGATGATGGATGGAGGAACTGTATTTTTCAAACGGTTTTTGTTCACGGGGAGGGGGGGGGGCGGCATGTCTGGGGGTTTTTGTCTAGGGTTATTGCCCTAGAACCGTTGCTTTCACCATGCTGGAAATATTTGAAAAGTACTTCTTCGTCTGCATGTCACTGCCTTGGACTGTCTTCCACCAGTTTTGAAATTATCTCTGGGGCCTCCAAACCCAAAACGCATGACTGCTTCACTGTGCACATTATACAAGGTCGGTAACGATCGCACCCCTAGTGCACTTTTTCCTTGTCTGAGAATCAATTTGTAAAAAGGTTGCTACAGATAATGCGGAATAATGCTTTTTGCATGGCATTTGCAACATTTGGATGAAACGCGCGGTGGAAATCCTATGTAAAACATTGTTTGCCAAAGTATTGCGTGGTTCATATTGTCAAAAGTCTTGAAGCAAACCAGGGAATAGAAGTATCATAGTTTGGCAAAATTCTGCAGCTTTCTTCATAATCATTTTAAGGTCAATGATATGTTCTAATAAGATATGTCCTTAATCCAATGAGGCAAATTTGTCCATATCAAAGGCGCTCTGAATGCAACCGGAAAGAGTTACTGGACGGCATTCATCGGCGCATACTAGAAGAGAACGTTATGAATAAAGGGAATGAGGTTTCATTATCTTTCGTGTCTCTACTTTATGAGCAGATTTCCTGACAGTACTTCAGAACACTTTTTAATACGCGTCTATGCCTCTATTTCCTGAACAAAGGATGACGTTGGCGAAAGGGAAAAAGCGACTTAACATGCTTAGCGTTGTCGTTTCGACCTTGATTGTTGTGAAACAGAAGAAAAACCTCGGTGCTAACTCTTCGTCGAGGCACTCGAATGAATTACCTCGTTTCGTTGCTGGTACTCTTTCGCGACTTGTTTACGAGTAGGTAATTTTCCCACGACGAGGAAGCAATTCTTTCTGTGCGTGTAAACGTTTGTTCTCTGGGCGTAGCCGACAGCACAAAGAAATTACCCAAATATGAAAATCTCGACTGAAAAACTCTTAACAGCAAGTATGTTTGGTCAGAGAGGCCATGCAGTCGTAATTCGTCATTCGTCGTCGGGAACGCGTCGTTTTCGGTAGAACAGCCGCTGGGACGACCACCAGCGACTTCGAGGTGCTGACCTCTTTGCCGAAGAGCACCACCATTCGACCCGACGTCGGCTTTTGACCATAGCCGAGATGGGCATTTTTCGCAGGCCAAAGGTACGGTGCCTTGTGCCATTGTCCATTCGCCCAGAGTGAGCAGGAACTGGCAGGAAAAGAACAGCACACATTCCAAACCGTTTTTCGGCCAGGTGCAACAATGTCATTTTTTCGTCAATTAATCGCCGGTTACTGGAGCAACGCTTCTTGCCACTGTGCGTGCTTAATTTGCCTTAATTAGCCGTCACTAGGAAGAACACCAGAAACACTTTGCTGCGAGGACGCTTGGGTTCAGCAGCGACTTGTGGCTTGCCGGTCGACCCGATCCGACTGTCCTTGCGGCTGGCCGACGCAGCTGGTGACGTTGCACCGCGTTTGGCTTGGCAACTGTCGTTTCACCGGGGTCGGCTGGTTACCGGTACCGGGGCCGTTTTTCCGCTGACGACTGTCGTTCCAGTTTCCGAGTCACTAACTTCACGACACCTCGACGTTTAAGCGAAAAACTGCCGTCCTGTTTCGAACGGAAGCATCGAAGCATTAGCACCGAAAAGCCTTCAGGTCTGCTCTTACGTTCAAGCTGACTACTCGCAAGCATACAGCTGGATGCAGCTGCTCGACTCGTCTGACGGCCAGCCAGCGCCGAACGACCTCTAGACCAATCGGAAAGCACAGGTACCGTTTCTTTGCACGACTGTCTACAAATCGCAAGTAGGCACACAGGAGGTGAATTCCGTAAGCAATCATACAATGCAGCCCAATTTCACCTGGCTACGAAAACTTTCGACACCGGAAACAAACTTCAGCATTGCAGATATCAC